GGGGAGCAGGAGAGAGCGGAGCAGAAGGGGAGGATGAAGGGGAGGCGAGGCCAAAGATAGAGGAGGGAGGATGACCAATGGGGACGTGGAGGGGGATATAACGAGCGACGACTGCCACGCCTGATTGGGAGGAAGCACGGCCAGGGGCGGCGGCGGCACTCCTCCTCCTCCTCCTCCTCCTCCTCCTTCTCCACTCCCCTCCTCCACCTCCACGTCCTCCCCCCCCCCTCCTCCTCCTCCCTCGCCCTCGCTCGAAATAGGGGTTGCTGCCCCACGCGAAACCACTCCTCGACTACCGGCGCTGGCGGAAGCTGAGGGGATGAGGGAGATGATGAGAGAGAACGGCGAAGCGTGAATTCCCGGCTGACATGCCCGCGAGAGGCGGGGCAACGCGTTAATATACAAGCTGTTTCTACGGCGCGCTAGCCCACGCAACAAAAGCAGCTGATAGGTCACGCCACGCCTCCCTGTTTCGCGCTCTCAATCCATGTTGCCTGCCCCCATCCCTGGCGCGCGGAGCGCGCCAGGGGCGGCGCCGGAGGCGCCGCCAGGGGGCCCCAGCGCCGATCCGAGAAATCCGCGCGGACCTCCGAGTCTTCATGTTCATGCCATTCTTCGCTCCCCTAGAAGCGCCCTGCCTGCGCGCCTCCAGGGTGCCCTGGGCCTCTGTGTATGCCATTCTTCGCTCCCCCCCAGTTTCTTGGCATGGGTCGCCACTGCACGGTCGGCGCGGCGCCGCCGCCCTGCCCCGGGGGCAGCGGATGGCCCTGGGGCGGAGGGGGCAGAGGCCCCCGCCCGCGCTCTGCGCCGCGGCCCGCAGGCCCTGCGGGTCAGGACTCTTCGGGGATCCGCGGACCAGTGTCAATCCAAGCCCCTCCTCCTCCTCCTCCTCCTCCTCCTCCTCCTCCTCCTCCTCCTCCTCCTCCTCCCCCTCCTCATCCTCCTCCCCTCCTCCTCCTCCTCCTCCTCTTCCTCCGCCATGTTCCTGCTTTGCGCCCCTCCCTTCTGCCCTCCCCTACCCCTCGCAGAATCCTGCAGGATCCTGCACGCAAGCCTGGGTGAATGTAACCTAGGCTCTGCGGGATCCTGCAAGACCTGGCGCTCAGGGTGACCCCCGTTCCGGGACCCCACCGACGTCATGATTTGTTCGCAGCGTCAACCTGGACCTCTCTTCTCTTGGGACCGGTGTTTCATCCCGAGCTGTTTTTTCGACGGCTCCGAGGCCTGGTAAGCGCCCCTGGAGGCCGACAAGAGCGACCCCCCCTGTCACGAGTGCTCCACAGCGCGAGGGGGTCTTGGATCTTCCCAACCTCCTCCCAACACGATCAATCATTGTCGTTCTCACCCCCCCCCTTTCAAGACGGCGGGGGGGTTACTTCACCCCCACCTGTGAGCGCCGGCCCGCTGCCCCCCCGCCCCGACGCCAGCAAACGACGACAGGAAGTCTCTCGTTGCGCGGCATCCGACTACGAACCTACAAAGTTTGTGATTACGCTGGGGGTGTAGGGCTGCATTGACTTAGGTCGGGCGTGTCCTCCTACAGGCGGATGTTTGACGGAACAATATTTTTCAACAAATATTTTTAAAATAGTGAAAAATTAATAGAAAAGTCAGCCCCAGGCTATGTTTGACTATTTTTGAATACTCCTCCTGTAGAGGAACATGCCTGGCGTAAGTCTGGGTTTGCATTGGCCCCCCGTCCCTCGAGCCCCGACATCTGGTGCCTGTGGGGGGGGCCTCGAGCCCCGACCTCTGGTCCTGTGCCGGGGTCTCTCCCTGGATGGGGGCCCAGACCCCTTTTGGCAATGAAAAATCATGACGGGAGGTTGTTTGCTATTTTCGGCCTCTGGGGGCCCTTACTGGCCCTCGGGACCGTCAAAAAAACGACTCGGGATGAAAAACAAGCCAAGGGGAATAGGTCGAGACCTCCAGGGGTCGACGCAATGATGAACAAATTGAATTCGGGGGTCTGGGGGCAGGAGTCGGGTAACCTCTCGTCTCGCCCTGGAGGGGGTGCCCCTAGAAGGAACAGTGTCCCTAAAGGGGGCGGTCCCCTTGGAGGTTCTCCTGGAGGGGACGGCTTCGCTGGAGGGGGCGGGCTGCTGGGGTGTCCCTGGAGGGGGCGGTTTCCCTGGAGGCGGGAGTCGGGTGTCGGGCGGCCCTGCACCCGTTCTCGTCTCCACGGGTCGTGGGCACACCTCGGATATTTTCTCCAGGGTTGGGTCAGTCAGTCAGGAGGATGAGGAAGAGGAGGAGGAGGAGGAGGAGGAGGAGGAGGAGGAGGAGGAGGAGGAGGAGGAGGAGCAGGAGCAGTAGGAGGAGGAGGAGGGGGAGGAGGAGGAGGAGGAGGAGGAGGAGGAGGAGGAGGAGGAGGAGGAGGAGGAGCAGGAGGAGCAGGATGAGGAGGAGGAGGAGGAGGAGCTTTCCCGAGCTTTCCCCCTCAGCCACGGTGGCTTTCGGTCGCTCGGCGGCCGCGCGCGCCGCGCGGCCACCGCTCCGA